CATATTATCGTTATTTATGGCTAAATATATCTATTTTCTTTGCTTCTGTCTTTTTACATCACTATTGATAATGCTTGATAAAAAAAAATCTGTAAGGAATTCTTACTTATAGCCTCCTTGTATGAACCTTTTTCTATTTTTTTTTTTCTTTTTCGTATTGGCTTATTAAAAGGAAATGTGGTATATGGCACGACCTTCTAGTCTTAAGATTGCTAATTAGCAACACCGCTCAGGGGTACACGTGACCCATCATCAGGTGAAAGCTAATAGAGAACAGTAATGTACCCACTGAACTTATTTCGTTTTTACAGTTTTGTTTTTCTTATAGTTTGTTTACGCAGAAAATACGATAACAAATGATTTTAGAGCGAAATAGCACCCGTCCGATCACAACACAACACAAGGATTCGAACACGTTATAAGAACTTCGCCTTCGTCACCAATCCGAACATTTCCCGCCATTCGTCAGAGGCTCCCCGGGCGAAATTCTGATCTCGAAATATGTTGACTGTAACACCGGTGGGCGAAGCAATTTCGAACCACTTTTGATTTATTGCTGTGACTGATTGCTTAATCTCATGAGAGTAGGACTAATACGCAACAGTGTGACACGAAAGGAATATTGTTATATAAGGTTAAAGAAACAAATGTTTTTCTATCCTTTTTTTTTTTGTCATTTTCTTTTTTGGGGGGGAATATTGAAGCTCTCGACTATTTAATGAGCAGACTTATCCAATTATCTCCTTTGTTTTAAAAATATATATACCCAAGAGTTGCTGAATATTAAGTAAACATAATTCAAAGAAAGTTTCCACGTAAAATCGGACGAGTCCTTCATAAATTCTTTAACCTTTTCTATACTAGGTTTTTTTTTTTCTTCTTCTCTCCCTGTTCACTTCCACTCTTTCTTTTCCGTACTTCTCTCTACTCTCTCTCGCTCACTCTATTTCTATATCTCTCACACACACGCACACTTTCTCTCTCTCTCTCTCTCTTTTCTCTCTTTTCTTTCTTTCTCTCTTACTCTTTCACTCTCTCTCTTTCACCCTTACTCTTTCTCTTTCTTCTCTCTCTCTCTCTCTCTCTCTCTCTCTCTCTCTCTCTCTCTCTCTCTCTCTCTCTCTCTCTCTCTCTCTCTCTCTCCTCTCTTCCCTCCCTCCCTCCCTCCCCCTCCCTCCCTCCCTCCCTCCCTCCCTCCCTCCCTCCCTCCCTCCCTCTCCTCCCTCTTCTCCCTCCCTCTCCCTCTCCTCTCTCCTCCTCCCCTCCCTCTCTCCTTCCTCCCTCTCTCCTCACTCCCTCTCCCTCCCTCTCCTCCCTCTCTCCTCTCCTCTCTTCCTCTCCCTCCCTCCCTCTCTCCTCTCCCTGCCTCTCTCTCTCTCCTCCCTCTCCTCCTCTCTCTCCTTTCTATCTCTCTCTCTCCTTCTTTCTATCTCTCTCTCTCCTTCTTTCTATCTCTCTCTCTCTCTTTCTATCTCTCTCTCTCTCTTCCTTTCTATCTCTCTCTCTCTCTCTTCCTTTCTATCTCTCTCTTCTCTCTCTCTCTCTCTTCTTTCTATCTCTCCTCTCTCTCTCCTTTCTATTTCTCTCTCTCTCTTTTCTATCTCTCTCTCTCTCTCCTCTTCTCTCTCTCCTCTTTCTATCTCTCCCTCTCTCCTTCTTTTCTATCTATCTCTCTCTCTCTCTTCTTTCTATCTCTCTCTCTCTCTCCTCTTCTCTCTATCTCTCTCTCTCCTCTCTCTATCTCTCTCTCTCTCTCCTTCTTTCTATCTCTCACTCTCTCTCCTTCTCTATCTCTCTTCTCTCCTTCTTTCTATCTCTCTTATCTCTATCTCTCTCTCCTTCTTTCTATCTCTCTCTCTCTCTCTCCTTCTTTCTATCTCTCTCTCTCTCTCTTCTCTCTCTCTCTCTCCTTTCTCCTCTCTCTCTCCTTCTGTCTCTCTCTCTCTGCTTCTCTCTCTCTCTCTCTCTCTCTCTCTCTCTCTCTCTCTCTCTCTCTCTCTCTCTCTCTCTCTCTTCTCTCTCTCTCTCTCTCTCTCTCTCTCTCTCTCTCTCTCTCTCTCTCTCTCTCTCTCTCTCTCTCTCTCTTCTCTCTCTCTCTCTCCTTTCTCTCTCTCTTCCTCTCTCCTCTCTCCCTCCCTCTTCTTCTCTCCTTCCTTCTCTCCCTCTCTCCCTCCCCTCCCTCTCCCTCTCCCTCTCCCTCTTTCCCTCCTCCCGCCTCTCCTCTCTCTTCCCTCTCCCTCTCTCCCTCCCCTCCCTCTCCCTCCTCTCCCTCTTTCCTCTCTCCTGCCTCTCCCTCTCTCCTTCCCTCTCCCTCTCCTCCCTCACCTCTCCCTCCCTCTCCCTCTCCATTACACCATCAGCATTTCATCAGTCCTAAACTTTTCTCACCTGTACTTTATGCCTCATATAAATCTAGTGTGTTGTATGACCTTAGTTCTCCAGGTTGAAATGTGGGGTTTAAAAAAGGGGTTTCACTTAATCCATCTTTCCTGCTGTGTTG